ATGGGGCACCTAGTGAGCATCGAACTCATTTCTCAGTCGTAACTGATCTAATGCGACAAGCGTGCTAACCATAACACCACCAGAGGTACCCAAACTAAGGTTGCAGTATAAGCCACAAGTGGGCTCTGTGTGTGTTGAATATACACAAATGCGTCTGCAATAGGAATTGGCTAGCCGCCCTAGTAGACTGCTATCCTCGAATACGAATGGCTAGCTATACATTATTTAGGAGAGAGCAGAAAACTAATGCTAAATTTCAAACCTACTTAGCCCAATATAATCATGATGGCACCGAGTGTGTTACTGTTATAAAGCCACACGAATCGCAGACAAATATTGTTATGGGGTCCACCCCTTTTTCATACAAGTGGACTCGACCAGTGTATATTTGTACTACTGCCGGTGAATACCCGGAGGTCGGAGGTGGCAGAGTAATAGAGAGAGTAAGAGTGTGAGGTAACCGTTTTGTAGGAGTCACAGTTGCGAGCACGTAGACTCAGAAGGAAGTCATACTTCGATACTGAATTTCCCAGACTGTATATATATTATGATTGCTACTAACCGCATTTCTTGATCTACTAATCGTATTAACAATTGTATTATTACGTCAATACATTTATTTGCTATATTTCATTCATGCGTTTGTCATTCATTTTGAGACCGGATTTCATCCCGGAATCCACAACAAATATGCAGCATATGGTGAGATCTTTTAATACAAGCAATATCTAAACATGTATGTGGATTAGAAAGAAAGATAATCCAATTGGATAACCCTGTCTGTTCAGATGATCTCCTACAGATAGTGTTTCTTCGATACTATATCCTTCAAAATTAAAAAAGAACAACCCTGTTTACATTCGGGCATGATACTTCGTCACTATTACATTGATTGATTTTTTTTGTTTTCTTTTAGTTTTTTACGGTTTATCAACCTTTCACAGATTATTTAATGCCAGAATTTTTTTTCAGATTATCCGATTTCTTGGCGATTTACTGATACTACAAATTATCTCATAGCTGTGTAGCGCGGAAAAGTGATTTCATAGCTTTTCCAATGATATTTTTGTGTAAATTAATGTAAATAGAATTCGAACTCGGTTCTCCGATTTCCAATTCGCGAAACTTTATCTATTAAACATCCATACATCCAAATTTAATGCACATGGTTTTTCCAAGCGCTCATTCATCTAGATTCTAACCAGGTTCGACGTTTCTTAACTTCGGTGATTGTGCGAGAACCGGTATTACATCGTAATATGGCAGTAAGCCTTTTTTTGCCATGCGTGATACACACTTATGAGATCTTGCATCTTTCGATACATGACCGACAGGTTTTTTCCTGCAGTAGGTTGCCTTTTCATTCTGCAGTAGATCAGTTGCCATTCAAGGCGATAGAGCTCGGTCTGTCATGCAATTTACCCATAGCTGGCGGGAGAAAAAAAGGATCCAATCCTTTCACAAATTTTAATTTATTATTATGAGTAACCCATAAATAGAATAGATGTATGGTCAAGTAACCCTAACATTTTGATTTCAGTTTCAATCGGATGCAAATGGCCTCATCAGCAATTAGCGCTGATCTAGTTCACGCGCAGGAAGGTTCATTCCAACCTTTCAGGTACTTATGCGACCAAAAGAACCAATGTACTGAAGGAACACAAATTTACGGTTTATGTTTGTTTGCAAAACTAATATTTTTATGAGACTTTGCCTTGTTTGTTTTCGATTTTATAATTTTAATGTTTTAATGCACTCTATTTACATTAATCGGACTATTGTCCTCATCTTTGTCGCCATATATATAACGCCTTTATCCACTCTGCCATGTGTCCTTGGCAGAGTGTATAAAGGCGTTAGTTACAGCCAGTGACAGGACCTAAAGAGTGTGAGTTCAATACCTGGTTAAGGCAGTGGAGAAATTGGAGAGGCGGATTAACAGGAGATAAATGACATCCATTAGAAACGGCACGTGGAACTAGAACATTATATCCCAGAGAGCGAAATAAAGTATTCAGTTCGAACTTCCAACCACCTGAAGAAGGCCTGAGCGTACAATGGCCGAAACGTTGTAATACATATGGCGACAAAGATTAGGACAGTAATCCGAATAATGTAAATAGGGTACATAATACTTCATCTCAGAAATATAGACATTTAATACACTCATTGTTCGCTTTTACTTTTTATATCTTCATGTGTGCATCACTTCATTTGTAAGTGGGGGTGTATCTTGCCTGAATTATTAAAATTCGAAAAACTGAAAGAAAAGTGATATTTTCTGATCTACATGACGGGCTAAATTTCCCTTCTTCATTAATAAGTTAGAAAATATCTGAAAGATTCAGAATTCTAGATAAAAGTTATACTCAGATAACTTCTGCTATATCGGATATCACTTAATCTTGATCTTGTGGTTGTATAATGCCGGGAGGGTTTTTCTATTATTTTCCTTTCAATTTTGGTGTGATTTAATGAATTTTTCTATTATCTCATATCTTTATATTCGATTGAATAACACTTTGTTTCAGTGACTCTGTTTAATTAATTAATTCCCCGGATATTTACATTCTTATATATTTCTAGTGTTCATTTAAATGTATTTGAAAATTTTCGTTTCATATAATCATCTTACTATTTTCTATATCAAAGGAAAAACGCTGACAATATTGTAACAGTTAAAGCAATATCATAAGATATGCTGAGTGATTAGGTGTGATTGCTGACATGTTCTCAGTCTGACCAACCGTCCTGGATAAGACGTCAAACTACATCCGCGTCCTGGGTAAGACGATAAACTATGTACAGCAGCAAGGCCTCTGACCAGGCGGTTTTGAGGAGCGTGGAATCATATCATAATTGCTGGTGTCTCCAGGTCCAACCTGACCCAAGGTGGTAGCACCTGTTCGGGTCCAAGCTATGGGGAAATAGTTAACCAGCAATCCTTTTTTGAAAAAAAAAAGCATTAACAACAATACAATGTTGAAGGAAAAATATTACCAGAAACAGATTTTTGACAAAACAAATTATCACCAGCAATAAAAAATGTCGGCATTAAATAACCCATTGAGGTTGATATGCCGTAAAACAAAATAAACCAAACCAAAAATCAATTTGACCAATCTGTTTAGTAATTTAGGCAGATTATAGAAATGTGTTTTAGTTCGTGAACTTTTCACCACTACTTGAGTTTGGAAACGAGTCCTGTCATATTAGCTTATTCCAGAGTACCACAATGTTAATTGGAACAAGGACTAGTGGGATGTAGGTATTTGATCACAGTAATTAATATTATAGGATATATTAGGGGTAAAGCATAAAATATTTTCTTCGATTTACAATTCCATAATACGAACATAAACATTTTTGGCACGAATAGCTTTTGTTCCTCTTCTATCAAATTAATAAATTTTCTTTATTTAATCGAGTTCCCCCAGGCAAGACAGTTATGCCACAAAATCACAAGGAGTTAATGAGTATGGAAGATTTAGAAACAAGATTTCTAATGAACGAGCAGAAAAGAAGAGTAATACGGAGGACAAAAGATAGCGGTTGACATTACATTTATATTTTTACCGATTAAAGCTTCTGTCTATATCTCTGAGATGAGGTATTAAGATTACTTGCATTATTTACATTATTCGGATTGTTATCCTCTGCCTCATTGCCGTATTCACAAGGTTTCGTCCGTTGTACACTCAGGCCTTGTTCAGGTGATTGGAATTTCGAACTGAACTATTTATTTCATCCACCAGGGTAGACAGTTCTCGTTCCACGTTCCATGCCTCTTCCGGATGTCTCAGTTATTTACCTAAAACTGAACTCTCCAAGGTTTTGTTCACCACAGATGTGGCCTTATATTGAAATCACAACTCATTTGGTCTAGTCACTGGAGGTAACCCCGTCTATTAGGCCATGTGAAGAAGACTATTGTAGATTCTAATTTGAATTTTGTCAAGGAGCTCTAAATAAATAGCAGCAGTACCGAGCTAAATTTTGAAACAATATACTAAGCATGGGCGAATGAAAGAGTTATAGATATGCAAGATAGATTCTGGAGCACAACAACTTTCTTAGCAGCTATCCTAGGAATGGGTTCAATGTAGTCTTTCCACTTCATGTCGACAGAGAATGTTAACCTGAGAAGAGACAATGTGTGACTCTCCTGGAGATTATCATGGACCATGCTGATGAACGGCAGAAAGGAGTCTAAGTTAATTAAAGGATAGAAGTTTTCTTTTAGAGGCGTTAAAATTAAAAGCCATCCTTTGACCCAGTTAACAATAGACGGTAGGTCATTTTGGATGACAGCTGCCATTTTGCCCTTGTCTAATTGATTGGACACAGGAATAAATGGTTGTGTTTAAAGCAGTTGACATCGGGTAGATAATCAGTGAATATTAAAGTATGGTCAAGGATGGTGCCTTGGGGTATACCTGTATTAGTAGGAAATGAACTTGATGAGTGACCGTTCAAAAGTACTTTCATTTTGAGATAGGAACGATTGGATCTGTTCAAATATTTGCTCGGAGAAGCTGTAATATTTTAGCTTGTTTAGAAGACATTTCTGCCAACACCGGGCTTCACCATTCTTATCCAGATCTTGATACTTTATTTACACAATTATCAGGAGCAGCTGACCAGTCGAAACGAAAGCCATTTCTTATCTGAATAAAGACTCTGCGATGTGAGATGGTCAACAAATTCAGCATTGATTACGGTCTTTACAAGTTTTTCAAAAAGAGGCTACTAGGACGATAAGTCGAAAAGCTAGTCCGTTCACCAGAAGGCTTAAAAACTGCAACAACATTTTTTTTTGAGATTTTTAAAATTACAAACCTAACCATTTCTTATGACGTTCCTTGATTTTGTCTTGTATGCTCCACGCTAAGAATGATCGCACACCTCTACATTAAAAGCGACATTTTAAGAGAAAAGCTATTTCTGAGTTTGGTTTAGGAAATCCATATTTTAAGATGTGTTAACATGAATTGGAAATGTTACTGACACTCTCGGGCAAATAGCAGAAGTAAGGAAAAAAAGAAAAGAAAGAAAAAGAAATAAGGAAAAGAGGGAATAGTGGAAATGTAAGGAAAATAAGTAAGGAAAAGCAAAAGTAAGAATAAAGTAAAAGAAAAAAGGAAAAGAAAAAAGGAAAAGAAAAAATTGAAGAAAAGGAAAAGTAGAATGTAAGAAAGAATGGAAAAGAAGAAAGGGAAAAGGAGAAAGGAGAACAAATAAGGAAAAGAAAGGAAAAGAATTAACATAAGAAAAAAGGAAAAGAAGTAAGGAAAAGAGAAAGAAAAAAGAAAGAAGGAAAAGAGAAAGGAAAAGAGAAAAGAAAAAAAAAGAAGTTTAAAGAAGTAAGGAAAGAAGAAAGGGAAAAAAGTACGGAAAAGACGGAAAAGTTGACCGAGAAAAAAATGAAGAGAAAGAAAATCAAGCCGAAGTATAATTAAATAGACTTCTATAAAAACAATGATAGAAGGTCGGCTAAAATTGGTTTCTTTATGTGGATCAAAATGTTTTTATCCTGAGATAATCTCTGGCGGAATTTTGTTCTGAAATTTTCATTGCAACAATTTTCCCTGTAAAATGTTCGCCACTAAATAAACTAGAGGACCGAGGAAGCAGAGAATGAGAAAAAATTAAATGTATTTTAATAAATTATTTCTTAATATTTTTAGCTCACGGCCATATCACGTTGAAACAGCGGTTCCTGCATAATCATCGAAGTTAAATAATAACTAACCTGGTCAGTCCCTGGGTGGGTGAATTGGGAATACCATGTGCTGTAAGTTTGGAAATGAGTGTAGGGTAATTAATGACTGGATTGATAATCGGAGAATCAGTTTATAATTCCAGTTGGGTTCATTACATTCACTTACATGCAAATACCCTTGGGAAAGGCATGAATCCACCAATTCTCCACCAGCTATGGGTTAGTTAGTAACACTTGCTTGAATAAATCATTAATATATCCCAAATTTTGTTTTAAAGTATAAAAATATATTCTATCCTTAAATATCCTGCATCTATTTAAAATCTTTGCTTTAAATAGATGCATTTCCGGTGTCTCTTCGGTTTCTCTTGCTGCCGTGGCTGTAGGATTTGCAGATTTCTTTCTACATTTTATGCCCCATTTCAACTGTATTTTTCTGATTGTAAGTAGAAAATGTATTGTTATTATTTTTTTCAAATTTCCTAGTTTTTAAAATATCATGTCCATGTGAATTTCAGCTGAACTCTGTCGGTTGAAGTTTCTACATCTAGGAGCAGAATACATAAAATTATGTTACTTAACAAATAAGTTGGCTTTTGTTCTAGTTTGACTGTAATAGGTTTGATTTTCTTAAAGCATATTCCTAGTCTACGCCCTTTGCATATATAATCACAGATCCGAAGAGATTGTCCACGGATCATTTAAGCATACCATACCACATCCCATAATAATAAACATAAAAAAACAACACACTTTCTTCACTTATGAGGCCAATATATTGATGAAGCTATGACGATAGATTAGGGATACATAGTTGAAATGAGAATGATCGTAAACACAAAATCACTATATTATACCATTTGCCCCAAGAAACAGGATACGTAACAATCTTTTCCAAAAGAGAAATTATGAATTAGAATTGGAATAAAAATGGCACATCGTCTGATTGTATCATAAAAATTCAGGGTGTGGAATTATTAAATCCAGGTTGATTGAAGGATCAGTTATTAAAAAAAGTAGAATGAGATTAGGTAACTGATTAGAGAAGAAGCGGCACAAGGGGTAGATTCGAACCAAACCGGAAGTTGCTACAAAATCTCGAGTCATGTTCTCGTTAGCTCGAGACTTATATATGGATGCCAAGCATGCCACTAATCTCGCTGTCATCTGTCTTTAGTTGTGTATAACCACTTTCTCATACAAATGATTAAAAAAATCTTCGATCGAATGAAATCTGTAGGTGTTAGCGAGGAACATTTTCTTGGAAGCTTGTAGACTGGAACTACAGAATCACAAACCCTACAATTTAAGAGACACCGAAGGACTTTCAATAGCATCAACAACACATATCGATAGTCTGGATAACTCGAATAGAAAACAATGAAAAATATCTAGGTGCAATATCTTTACATTGCTTCAAACGAAAGGTTTAGAAGGGCGTCCCTATCAAAACTAAAAAGTGCAAAAAAGTTATCAGACGTGATAGAACTATTTCATAGTAAAGTTTTGGTAATTAAAAAATGTTATGAATTTCAGCCGACAGTATTCAATGAGCGACCCACTGTTTAACCTTGAGCTTGTTAAGCTGATCGAATGCGTACACCGTATGTTATACTATAATAGTAAGCAGGGTAATACATCATGTTACTACGAGTGAGATAGATTGTCATTGAGAGTTACTGTTATTCAATATCGTTGGGAATACTCTAGTTTATGAAGATGTTATGACTTTTATTTCATGAACAATGAAAGAGTGATGGACCCAGTAAGGAGATATTGTTTATTAGACAGGAATAAAGAAAATGTAGAGAATGTATAAAGCAAAAAGGGAAAAGAAAATTAACCCAAATGAACACGTGATATTTACCTGGTGCAGCATGGAACATATGATCTCTTGTTGATGTTTGATTATTATTCCACATATGTACGTGTCCTGCGTATGATGATGAACTACACACGGTAGCAATGTCGCTGATCGGGAGATTGGCGGTTTTGAGGAGAATTAAACCATCTATTTACTGCTATTGTTCCCAGTTTTAACTCGACCTGGGCTCGTAGCTATGGGCAAATAGTGAAAACCAACGATACATTTTTAAAATAAGATGACCAACAATACATTTTTATAGCAAAATGGTAATCAATGCAACACTAAAAAATATAAAAAATAGATTTTTATAGAAAAATTACGTGCGGCGTGTTTAGAGATCGGAATTAAGTATGACGCCAAACAAAGTCAACCAACAAACAATACCCAATTATAGTAAACGTACCAACAAATACCTATTTATATTAAACTACCAATTAATGTTTTCTTCTCCTAAGTTGCAAATTAAGTCTAAAAAAGTCGTTTTCTCTACTACTTAATTTTTTAGGGAGATTAATTGATTTGTTTTTGCGACTTAGTTTCATATCCTTATGGAGTCGTACTCACCGAATGTTAGTTTCAAATTGTCGTATGTTAAAATAAAATAAGAATTATAAAACTAAATTAGAATAATATTATTCAATGTTGAAAACCGTTTATTTAATAAGAGTAAGAAACGCCGGCCGTAAGGAAATTGGAGAGGTACAATTTATAGGCTTTGATTACCAAAAAGGGGTGCGTATTATGCGTGAATATAACAATTTTCCCACACTTTAAGCACAATGCTAGGGGTGCGTATTATGGATGAAGACGGATTATACATAGGGAATTGCGGTAATTTATCTGTATGTAGCAGAAACCTTGTTGCTAATTTAGTACTGCGTTTTAATTCATAAACTCTAGGCATAAAAAGCGCGATGAGCTCCTCGGGGGAAGCAACTATACATCAGTAGGAAAGTGATGGAAGCCGAGACGCCAGATTAGGACCAATAATATTGCTGATTTTCCTTTTGATTTTATCTAGAATCTATAAATAAATATCAGGTGCGACTTAGTGGCTTTACTATATAGCATGTGCTGAATTTGATTAAAAATACAATCTGGGGAACAACTTCTAAATTCATACCTTTACTCAAGTGTATTACCGTGAAAATGAAACAGGCGACTAGATTTCGAACTTAGATGGACTGAACTCTTGTTCCTAGTACTTATTCATTACACCATCTGCACATCCTAAAGCCTGATAAAATAATAGAAAGAAAATATCTTGTCAGTTGGTGACGAGAAAACAGCTCTAGAAGATTGTAAAAAAGAAGAAATGTTGTCAGTGATGTGTGGACGTATGGCAAAACCTTTTTAATAAAGTTCTTTATAGAAATATAGCCAAAGGAAAAACTGTAAAGGGAGATAGAGATCAACCCTTGATGTCGCCTTTAATATCTTGATGCTTGCTGAGAAATAAGTTTCTCTCTCATGCTCTTTTGCTCTTTTACCCTTTTAGATCTATTTCTCTACATATTTCTCTCCCACTTTTTTTCCACCTTCTCCCTCTTTACATATCTTACTCACATCTATCTCTATTTGGCCGCCTCCATACAGTCCTACCAAAACATCTTCCATTGGATCACGTCAGTGTTCCTATTTAATTGATGTTCTACGTTGTGTCTTGCATGTCCAGTGCCCGAAGTACTAGTCGATCTTCCTGGTAAGAAACTCGACAGAGTCTTATTAAGTATCCCCTCAGGCTTTTACAATTGTTCTTCAAGCATTATTAATAGGCACAAGCATTTGCAAACGGTCAGAGGCACCAGCAATATTAATAGACAATATACCAATTAATGTCTTCAGTTGCTACATGAGACGGATTTAATCGTCTATTGACGCCCAACCATGTCATGCACTCACGTCGCCTTGGGCGAAGGATTCATTAAGATCGAGAAGTCAATTCAATATTCTAGTAACAGAAGCTTATTAAAATTAAGTAATACTTACGGAGCTTCATTTTCTAAATACGTTTTTATTTTATTTTATGCATTTATATAAGAATATAAAAAGAAAGATATGGTTATTTTCCTTTTCTGATTTGTGCTGGCTAAAGATTGACTGAGTTGTTCTCTACGATTTATCAATCTTTTTAGGTGTATTTAAAGCCAGAAAATATTTTTTAGATTTGGAGGTCATTAATTTACAGAAACATGTCATACTAATTATATATGTTATACTGGTTGCCTGAAGAAGGTCGGAGCGTACAACGACAAAAACGTTGTAATAAATATGGCGACAAATATGAGGAAAATAGTCCGAATAATGTAAATAGTGTACATAATACCTCATCTCATATTCATATATATATATATATATATATATATATATATATATATAGATAGATAATATATATATATATATATATATATATATATATATATATATATGTGTGTGTGTGTGTGTGTTTTTGTGTGCGCGCCCGCGTGTGTTTGTGTGTGGGGAATCGTGACACACTGTACTACAAATTTAAATAATTGTTTATTATTTGGGTATAATTTTTCTTTCAAATTGAAAGAAATGAATTAGACAGTTACTTTGTGTTATACTGGAACACACCTGTTCTATAGACTCCCCCACCTAAAAGTAGTAGTAGTAGTAGTAGTCGCTCAGTGAGCTGGTCAGTCAGTCGATGTCGGACGACCGTTAGTGGGATATTAAAGTATCAGCCACCCCAACTAGATTTGCTGCGTCATTACCAATTATATCAAGTTCCTAACGTTTTGTACGTCGAACCTATTTTAAGACCGACTTAGTACAAATACAAGCCTCTACTGTGAAACCACTACATAACACTTTGCGAAGCACTTCACACAAGATGTTTGTAGATCTTTTTTTTTACGTACAACCGAATGAATTGCGTTAGTATAGGATGAATATATTACGTCTATACGTAAGAATATGTGTCACGGATGTACGTTGTTTTATGAGTACGTATATTGCAACAGTAAGCCTCATGAAAATATCAGCAAATGTGTCAATATCGCTAAGCATTTTGTGTAATTAATATGTCCGAAAATTGCTAAGTTTTGAGTAATTAATTAAGTGTGAGAATTCTAGTTTCGTTTGTCTAACAAATTTCTGGTCAAAGACTAGTTTGCGAACTAAAAATTGATGGTTTATATATAAAAAAAAACATCGTCTCTATAACAAACAAAAAGTAGATTTATTGTTTACGAGTTTATTGGTTAATAAATATTTTCTCAATTTTTAAATAACCATTTTAAGAACCATTGGTTGTCCATATTCTGACGTGATCCTCAAAATGTAGTAACTAACAAAATTTATCAACTGTAATTTCAAAGAAAACCGCGCGGCTCATATGACATCGCCGATTGGTTAATATGCATTAATACAAACATTATTAGAGCCGGTCTGTGTACAAAATATGAGATAATTTCTGGGTTAGCCGTTTTTTTTTGTTTTTTTTTTTCTGTTACATTACTTAAATCTATAGCATTTTTCTACAATTCTGAACCGAATTTCCTAAAATATATACATACATAATACAAGTGGGGTTAGGGATAAAGAATTGAAATGGTACATCTAACTCACTCATGTCTCCCCCCCCTCACTTCCTCACTTCATTAATTTACATATGCTTAATACGGCCCGTCAAAAATGTGTAAATTTCTTTTCATTTTTCATTTCAACTTTTGGAAGTAAAGTCTGATGATCCAGAACCCTTTAAAAGGGCTGTGGTGAAATAATTTATTACATGCAACCTTAAAGTGGTCTGCTGTTTTTTACTCAAAAATACATACATAAATATATATATATATATATATATATATATATATATGTGTGTGTGTGTGTGTGTGTGTGTGTGTGTGTGCATATATATATATATATATATATATATATATATATATATATATATGTTCCACTTGTTTAAGGGGAACTTCCGTCACAGAAGACGATTAAAGCCACTGAATTAATTGAGAGTGGACGAATTCATGGTGACTGGTTCGAATTTCAAATCTAGACTCATCTCGGTGATGATGAAAAGTTCTAGCTTGATGCCTGAAGTAATGAAGTCAGAAATTCGCCCCATTGTGCTGTAAGGGATAGATCAGATGACAGATCGGCTCTTAGGTTGTAGCGCCCTGGGTTTTCTGAGATGCAGCTATTGAGTTACTCGGCAACGTAATGGGTGAAATATTTGCCGATTACTACTCGGGATCAGCAGATGAATGCTGATTACCATGATAAAAAAAATCACTATGCACTTGGGAGAATAGAACAACGCAAACTTTAATTTTCAGAAACAGTAACACTATATTTATCTTCTACTTACACAAGCGATTGTAGCTTCTTTGCTGGCGAACCAACGACCATGCTTTACGACTAAGTGAGCCAGGAAGGAAAGATGGATGACCTGTGTCAAATATGGAATAAATAGGTGATGCAGAGAGAAAAATCAAATAATTTAAGTTTTCTGTCATAAATAACACATTTTTACATGAATAGAGAACGCGGAAAAAAAGGATTGTTAAATATTTGACTAAGAAAATGAATTCTTATAACAAGTATCCTTATAAAAAGGATCATTTTAGAGTGTACGTTGTACATGCAAAATTTACATAGTTTCATTACAGAATGCTTATGTGAAAAAATCTTACTTATCATGTCAGTTGATTGAATTTATTATTGACCCTTTTTGGTTTATTTAAAGCCAAAATATTTTTGGGGATTATAAGGGGAATTGCGTTTTGTTTTTTCGTTCTTTCTTTTCAAGTGAATATTAACATCACGAGACATTTC